AGGAGTAAGCTGACTGCTTATCAAGACTTGTTTGTTTAAGTGCTAATTGTCACTTATTGTAGCTTGGCTTTAAAGCTTGATATAAAGTTACTTTAACAAGTCTTTGTTAGACAAGCTTACATAAAATAAAAACTAAAATGAAAAACACTATTTTTAAGTAAAATTGTAACTATTTTAAAGTTACCAAAATAAAACTATTATATTTGAAATCTACATTTTAAAAACAAAGATTTTTGATATAAAATATGAAATATCTATTTTAAAAATAATGATTGTGATGTAAACTATCACAATCATTCATAATGTAAAAATATGGATCATAATAGTTCCTCTCTCGTTCTTTTTACTTTGGACCCCAAAGTTGAATTTATTTATTTTTTCAAAAATATGGGTCATAAAAAGATTTTTTTGATTTTTTTTTTTTTTTTTTTACTACTCACTAAAGTATTTTACATTATAACATATACTCAAGGTATTATCCGAAAAATATACATAATTATGTAAACATTGATACACACATCTTGGATAAAGACAAAAATTTATTTACATTGAGCTCAATAAGATTAGTATTAGGGACTTGTGTCAACCTTTATTGTTATTTTGCTAGCTTCTATTTAGTAGGACTTGTGTCAACTACCTAAGACCTTTGTGGTCTGTTTACTTTGTAAACAAGTATACCTAAAATAAACAATACATAATATATGTTTTTCTAGTATACAATACACAAAAATATACAAGATTATGCAATTGGTAGGAATATCAATACAAATCTCGCAAGGTCATGCATTTATAAATGAACATCTGGAATTAATTATAAACATGGTCATTTTTGGAAGAAATTTTTTTTTTTGACAGCTGATAATAAATGAATATTCTGTGAATGGCACACAGGGAGTTTCATTCTATTATATAAGATGCAGCTTAAAATTTGTAAATAAAGAAAACAACAGAATAAGCCTAAGGTGCTTCGGTTTGGGAGCATTTAGTTTACAACAAACGAATGGTACTCAATTTGAACCTATTAAAAATAGAAAAAAAATACCAATAGTGAAATGTATGAAAACTTGATCAGAGCTTCATAATCAAATATTATCTCACTAAAGGGAAAATAATTTTTAATTTTGATGTGCACGCCTAATTTACCTAACATTTTAGGATTTTATAGACTATTATGAGTAATGTTTATTTTCATTGTTGTGTATGCTTAGGGCTTATTTATTTCTTATGGAAGAACACATTGGTTTTACGTTTCCTTTTTCTACCAGTTTTAGTATGTGTTTTCCAGTATTCTTGAATTATGTCAGGGTCAATAAATTCTTCCATAATCCATTTGTTCACACTATTTGGTAGGGAACAATAGAAACCATCTTTTATTTCCAGTACTTATGCATGTTTTCTTGATTTGTATTGGTTTTATTAGGTTTGGCATAAAAATCTTGTTTTGGGGAAGCCTGAGGACTTGTATCATCAAGCTGAGGATCATTATCAGACTTGTGATTGTTTGTCTCTACAGACTCCGATGTCTTAACAGGCTGTGGAATATGAGTATTGTTAGTCTGGTCATTAGTTTCAGACTGTTGACCCCTATTTTCTACAGGCTGTTGACTATTTGAAAGAGATTCATTTGCTCTTTCGTTTGAACTTTCAGAATGAAGTGGTTCCTGAAAGTGTTTTAACCGTTGGGAATTAACAAGTGCCTTTAAAAGTTTATTTGTTTTACAGTCTCTTAACTTATAAGTAAAATTTGGACCTAATGAGTCAATTGTGTATGGACCAACCCATTTATGGGTTAACTTTTGAAGAAAGACCTTGTCTTGTCGCATAACACCTTAATAGTACCTTGTCAAATACTCTAAAATCAGGAATTTTGGCTTTGCCGTCAAATCGGACTTTGGCTTTATGCTTTGCTATCTCCATGTTGTTTTTTGCAATGTTTTGCGCAACTTTCAGTTGAGTTAAGAGTTCATTAAAGAAATCTTTGGTTTGTGAAGGTAAATTAGGTTTTGGAAGCAAGTCTACATCAACAGGAAGAAGCATTTCTTTCCCAAAGATTAAATGATATGGAGAAAATCCTGATGATTCAGTTGCTGGAGTTGACCTGAATGCCATCATTACACTTGGTAAGATATTTGCCCAATTTGTTTGGTTTTCATCCACATAGGCAGTTAATACTTTAGCTAATGTACTGTTTGCGCGTTCAACTGTTGAATTTGTCTGTGGGTGATATGAGCTAGTGTGATATCTCTTGATCTGAAATAACTCACACAAAGCACTTACAAGCTTTGACATGAAGTTTTTGCCCTCTGTCTGAAAACCAATGAACGAAAAAGCTCCGTATCTACATATATATTCATTATATAGTATTGTGGCAATTTCTTGAGCATTTTGACTTTTAATGGAAATGCCTCTGGCCATTTTTGAAAAACTATCTATGATAAGTAGAATATATTGGTGACCTTGTTTTGTTTTGGGGAGAGGGCCGAGAATATCAATGTGAAACTCTGCTCATAGTATCTTCCACACAGGTAGAGGATGTAAAGGAGGGGGGGCGTTGATGTCTGTCAGTTTTTTGACCTTTGACAGGAATCACACGAGCTAACATAGTTTTTGACTGTTTGATACATGCCAGGAAACCAATATTTTTGTCTTAGTTTCATGAACGTTCGAGTAACACCAAAAATGACCTCCTCCTGCAATACAGTCATGATAATGGTAAAGCAATTCATTTCTTTTCGACTTGGGAACTGCTAATTGGAGAACATAATGATCAGTTTGGGTAATTCTGTTTTTGAACTTTGGTTGGTAGATATGATACAGTAGACCGTCTTTTAGAATAAATTGGTCTTCAGCTTTTGTACACATTCTTTGCTTTTTTCTCATCAAGGGGCATTACTCTTGTTTCTAAATACTGAATGAGAAAATCAAGGTCTGGACATTTCCTTTGCATTTTTGACATTTCTGCATCACATGTTGCATCAAACCTTATCAATTACATGAACAGAACTGGTATCACCATATTCAAATGTAACTTCTGTCAGAAAATTCTGATTGTTTTCTTTATCAGAATTTATATTTTGGACATTATTTGACCGATCATTTGGTTTAATCAAATCAAAAATAGTACACAACTTAATCAACCAACTGAATAATGATCTAAGACCTTTGAGTAATACCTGTTTCACTGAGGAATAACCATTTCCTTTAGAACAAGAGCAGTTTGACCTACTAAATTTGTCATTGTCAATTTGGAACATGTCAGAATTACATGTATTTTCAGTTTCATTCGGTGAGGATTCTGTAGAACTTAATTCATCAGAAGTTGAGTTTGATTCAATGGATGTTTCCACATCTTCTGTTAACGTCAGACAATTTGCTTCCTTTGTGTCACTTATATTGTTTTTCAGCATAAGGTATCCTTGACAGAGCATCAGCATTAGAATTTTGCTTACCAGGTTTGTATACAATCTCATAAGAAAAACCTTCAAGGAACATTATCCATCTAGCTAACCTACCCTTGGGATCCTTAAGACTTTTAAGGTAAGATAGTGCCTTGTGATCAGTAAAAATGGTGAATGTTCTATGAGATAAATAGTGTTTATAGGCCTTAATGCCTTCAATTACTGCTAAACATTCTTGATCTGTGACTGACCATTTCTTTTCATCTCGAGAGAGTGCTCTACCACCATAGGCAATAACATATTCTCTCCCTTGTTCATCGATTTGTCCGAGAACATAACCAACAGCTGTACCCGACGCATCAGCTGATAACACAAAGTTATGATTCATGTTTGGGAATCCTAGAATTGGGGCTGAAGTTAGGGCATTTTTCAATTGTTGAAAGGCATTTTGGCAGTCATATGTCCAGTCATTGGACTTAAATTTACCTTTTTGTTTCCTTTTAGCAGATTATTTAAAGGTGAAGCTATTTTTGCAAATCCTTCGACAAATTTGCGATAATAGTTACACAACCCTAAAAAGCTTTTTAACTCTGTTTGGGATTTTGGGACAGGAAAATTCTTAACCTTCTCAATTTTTTCTGGATCAACAGATATTCCATCTTTAGATAGAATATGCCCTAAGAACATAACTTTTTCAAGACCAAATTGACATTTTTCTGGTTGTAATGTTAAATTTGCCTCCCTTAGTTTTGAAAACACTTGATGTAAATGATCTAAATGCTCATCAAAGTTTTTTACTAAAGATGAGGATGTCATCTATATAACAGAGGACACATTTCCAATGGAGACCTCGAAATACTTGGGACATCAACATTTGGAATGACATAGGGGCATTTTTTAATCCGAATGGCATTCTATTGAAAGTATAAACAGACTCATGGGTGACAAAGGCAGCTTTATGTTTTGTCTCAGGGTCTAATTCCATTTGAAAATAGGCTGAGTTAAGATCTAAAGTAGAAAATATGGTTGCTCCAGTATCTCCTATACAATCAAAAACATCCTCTAATCTTGGTAATGGATGGGAAATTGACTTTGTTATTTTATTCAAGTTTCTATAGTCAACCGCAAAACGCCAACTATTATTTTTTTTGCGAACAAGCACTACTGGCGAGTGCCATACAGAAGAGGACGGACTTGCAAGACCATTGTCTACCATATCCTTGACCTGACGTTCTAATTCTTTCTTTTGTTCAGGACCATATCTATAGTGATTCATATGAACTGGGCCGGCACCAGGCTCAGTATCTATTCTATGCTTGAAGACATTTGTTTTGCCAATAGTTGCCAAAGAATTTGAAAAAATCTTTTTGTTTAATTTCAGAAATTTTTCTAGTTTCATGCACTGTTCAGGTGTCAAATTTTTGTGGTTTATATTGAATTGAAAATGTTCATTTTCCAAATCATTTTTAGCACTTTGATCATCAATGTCAATATTTGCACAGGTCTCAGTTTTAGAATTTTCATCAAAGGAGAAAACATTTTGTTTGTCAATTCTACTGACTGACGCCAATGTATAATTGATAGGGATATGAATTTCTTCATTAGTAGGGTTTTAAAATTCTTATCACTGCTCTGGAATTTTGGGCATTGCGATTTTGTTTGGCTTTTACAAGACACCTGGCCACCCTATAGTTTTTAGAAGTATTTATTGGTTCTAACAGCACAGTTTCCTTCTTAAACTTTCTAGTGATTGAAACAGGAATATCAACTTCTTCTCGTGCCAAGAGACATACAGGCTTTGTAGTTTTAGCAGTACCTGACCTTACTGTCATTTGAACTGAGACAGTATTTTCTTTAATATACAGGGTACCCTTGCCCAAGTCAACAAAACAATTGATTGTCATATAGAAAATCTATCCCAATGATAAGAGAATGATGAAGTGAATCTAGCACATGAAGCTTGTAGTTGAAACACAGCCCAGATATGACTATAGGGACATTTAAGTAACCTAGTACAGGTGTTGTTTGCTCCACTAACACCTTTGACTTGACATAAATTTGATGCCTTTAGATTGTTTAAATTTAAACCAGCCTTTTTAAGAAAGGTTTTAGAAATACATGAAATAGAGGCACCAGTGTCTACTAAAGCTTGAGTTTTTTACACCTAGAACCTTAACTTGAACAGTATTTTTGTGAAGAGGTTCTATTAAAGAAATAGGTTTTTGTTTCTGTTTTGTTGTTTAATTTCTTTTTGAAAGTTTTTGTTGTTTGTTTTGTAAATCAGTCCTGTTTTTCTCTTTTAAATTCTGATTTAGAACTACATTCCCTTTATGCCTATTCACAGATGATTGTCTATGAACAGGCGCGAATCCCTATTGATTTTGATTAGAGGGCTTGCGTGCTTCCTGAAAAGATTTAAAACTTCCTATTTCTGGACAATGTTGTTCAAAATGACCTGTTTTTGAGCAGATTTTACAAAAATGGCTATTAACCTTGCGAGAAATATTATTCATATTCCTACCTTGTTGTGAATGATAGTCTCGGTTCTGCCTCCTCCTGCTCCAGGTCTGGGGTGGATCCTGATGGTACTGAACTGGTTCTTGCCTGGACTGGTTCACAGTTGATTGGTGAGTCATAAGTTTAATGAGAGTGTTCAATTTAGCCTCAATAGCACTTGATTGTGAATTTTCACTTACAACTGAAACTTGAACAGTGTCTAATTCTGATTGTTCAGCCCTTATAGCGGCTCTTCTGGCAATATCCAAAGATAACAGTTCTTGTGGTTTGACAATTCTCTTAATTGATGGGGTTAAACCGTCCACATACTTCGAAATAAGCCATGAATCTGGCATGTTTTTGTCATTAGTCAAATTGTAAAATCTGGTTGTGTAATCACATACTGTTTCATTTGGTTCTTGTCTCACAGCATTTAAGGTATATCCACCATCACTACCATCAAATCGCTTTTTGAAGGCTTCAACAAGATTATCCTTATTGTCCTTTGTTTCATCTGGTAAAGATTGGTACCATGCTTGGGCTTGTCCAGTAAGATGGAATGGAAAGGTCAGTTTTACCTTCTCATCATTGAAATTGTAGAGGACTTTACAAATAGAGGTGTATTCCTTCAACCATGTTTCACCCTTGGAACCTGGCTGACCTTGAAATGTCACAATTTTAACATTCATTCCAGATGCCATCATAGGTGTTTGTTTGGTAAGAAGTTCAGGAATTTCTTCTGCTGGGATGTCAATGGATTCAGCAGTCTCTATTGTCTCCTCTCTAAGTGTTGTCTGGTTATCTGTTAAAGTCTGCGTCTTTTTGCTCTTCCCAGTGCGAGATTTCCTTGGTGTTTGGGAATATCTTTCTGGGGTCTTCTGACGTCGACTCTCAAGGTTTCTTAGGACTGGTCTCTTACATGAATTAGGCGTTGTCATAGGGAAAGGATCGTACTCCACCAGAATTTTATGATCCTACGACAGTTGTCCTTTTTTTATTGATTAATCATGGGCAGACTGTGTTTAAGTCCTTTATGACGAAACCCTGGAATAACAGAGTTAACACTTTATTAGTTAAAAATCCAGTTTATTCTTCAATGTCCAATTTTCGAATGATTACATAAATAACATTTTACAACATTATAAAATAAATCATTTTAAGAATACAATATTTGAATTAACAATAGTTTGATCTTTTAATTAACAAATATGGGGAAATTAGCTTTAAATAACTCACTTTGCGTAAGAGGTACCATTTTAACAATTCAAATAATTATAATATTACTATTACATAGTACCTAACAAATTATATCAATTTACATATTTAGAATAGATTTTGTAAACTTTAATGAATTATGAAATATAATAAAAGTACATACCTGGAATAACAGAGTTAACACTTTATATATTAAAAATCCAGTTTATTACTTCAACGCCCAATTTTCGAATGATACTGGGACAGTTGAAGCTGGAAGTTTTGTTCAACTCTGTTAAACCATATGCAAATAAACATTAATGTATAAAATGTCCTAAGAAGGAAACATTAGGATGATTTCCTGCAAAAGTTGCTATTTTTGTTTAACCATATATTTAAGCATTTAGATAAGAATGGAAAAAGAAAGGAGTAAGCTGACTGCTTATCAAGACTTGTTTGTTTAAGTGCTAATTGTCACTTATTGTAGCTTGGCTTTAAAGCTTGATATAAAGTTACTTTAACAAGTCTTTGTTGGACAGCTTACATAAAATAAAACTTAAATGAAAAACACTATTTTTAAGTAAAATTGTAACTATTTTAAAGTTACCAAAATAAAACTATTATATTTGAAATCTACATTTAAAAACAAAGATTTTGATATAAAATATGAAATATCTATTTTAAAAATAATGATTGTGATGTAAACTATCACAATCATTCATAATGTAAAAATATGGATCATAATATCTGTACTAAAGTTTCCTCTCAAGAATTTATAGATGACCCAGAATGTTTGCTATAAATATTTCATGAAATTCAACTCCAGAAGCATCTTTTTAATTTATTTTGAATTTATAAAATTGTCTTTGCATGAATAAAAATGTTATTTATTAGTTTTAGAATAAATGAAGTGAAACAAAGATATTAGATTTTGATTTTTATATTCTAAAAGAAATTAAAATTATTCTCAAGTTAATTTTAAAGAAAAAATAAATTACAAAAATTTGAAAACAAGGTCAATTAGAATGAATTTTAAGAAATGGCAAATAGAAATCATGTTGCAAAAACAGCTATTTCATTACTTTAGAAAAGGGAACTTAAAACAAACAAATAATTGTCAAGATGTTTTTAAAGGAAGGAAGTATCTTAAGATTGTTTGATATATGAAGCCCAAAGTTTGCTGTCTCAGCAAATAATGAAATAATGTAGTTGTACTGTGTGGAATATGGTAACAATCATAAACGTTAAGTTACGGCTGGTATCATCTATTATTTTCTGGCAGAGTATAAGAGGAATTTTGGTGACAGTGACATATGGTGATGGAGGCAAATTCTCTCTGTAGATACAATAAGTAATGATTAGAATATTGAACAATTTGTTTTATATATCAGGGAAAAGCCAATCTTAATTAAGGACTATATGAATTGTCACCACATTTTAGCATATAGTCCAAATGACACATCACTATGAAATATACTTTTGATTCTACTTACATTTGTTTAAAAAATACTTGCCTTCATATCAAAGCTGTCAAAAAAGTAGCTTAGGCTCAACTGAATAAATTAATGAAAAATTATTTTATAATGATTTATAAAATAAATCATAAATTGCTGCAACAATTACAATATGAAAAAAAATAATCGTGATGCGAGTTTCATGTAAGTAATTTATTTCTTCTTAAGAAAATGAATTTGTAGATCATTAAGTGAATTGACTTTAATTGTAAAAGATACAAACATTTTATGTGACTTTTATTATACCCCGTAAATAAAATAATAGCACCTATCTGCCAACTTTTATTATCTGTAACTATAGACTTTATCTCTATATTTCATTTTCATATCCCATACTGTCCAGATTAGATGATGAAATTAAACGTTGGTCTGCTTGATTATCAATTATCTGTCTTTAAGTTGGAATATGTTCTATTGGGTCGACCATAATTTTACTGCCCTTAACCACATTCTTATCGTAACTTTGGCAGAGAAATTGATATTTAGGAGACAATCCTATAAAGGTCTTAGCCAAAAATGGAAATTATCCTGCTATGTTACATTCAATAAGCCTCCTATATTGTTCTACAAGACAGTTCTTTGAAATCATATATGGTTGAAATTATTCTGTCAGGGGAAAAAAATACATAGATCTCTTTATCAGTTTATTACTGAATGTTCATAAAGAAATTATTTGAAATTTAAATTGAAAATTACTTCTTTAATATATCTGCTGTTATCTCTTTGTCAAGATTATCAATATTATTATTATCAAGATTTATTCTTGACCTTGTGTAATTTAAAAAGATTTTTAAAAATACCAATTTTTAAAAGTCATCTCTGTGTGTTTTTTTTTATTTATACATTTTAATTTATTATATTTTAAATAATTCAAGAACAACTTTTGTGTATGATGGAGTTTTATATGTTTAAATGTTACTTATAAATACTTGTGTTGGAATTGATGACTCTTTTTTCATGGTGATTTACTCTTGACTGGCAAACTTGATTTATTCTTTAGGAAGATTTTTCTGATAGAATATCTTCTAGTTGAGAGATCAGAGATCTGCTGAAAACACTAGTAATTACAGTAATTGATTTTTGTCTGTCTAGTATATATCCAAAGTAATCCATCTTTGTCCAAGAACTTTCTCTCATGCCGGAGTACTACTCGTGTCATGTAAAGTATATAGTTTTACTTTCCATTCATTGTTATGTTGTTTTCAACTAAAAATCTAAGTTGCCTTACCCATTTATAATAAGAATTAAATTGCAGAAGTTTTCATATTTAATACTACCATCTAAATCTGTAATATGTATTTTCCATTGTTAAAGAATGTGAAAAGAAAATGTTTAAAGGGAAATGTCCAGATGTATAAAATGTTCCATGAAGTCACTTAATAGTATAACAAGTGTTAATACCATTTCATCCTTGGAAGAAACTGTAAATTGACCAGAGAGAATTCATGTGGAAATCCATTTATATGTAGCAAAGATCTTTGAGCATGCAATGCTGCTAAAATGACCATTGAGGTTCTTGCTTCTGAGGGAAACATAAATTAATTGGAATCGATCCCAACAATTTCTATTCTGTAGTGGCAAAATTGGTAGTAATTTGGTGAAAAGTGTGACTGGCAGTTTCTAAAGAATCCCTAATTACAGAAATGATTTCTACTACATTGGATGGAGGTTTTTCTTTTTTTTTGCAAATGAAGCTATAGTGCTTGTAGTATATAATGGCTAAGGGGTAATTTGTGTGATAGTGGTGCATTAATGAATGTTTTATTTTCTTCTGTGGCTTTTGTATTCGGTTTTCTTTGGTGATGATGGCTTTCAACAATTTATTTTTTATACATCTCGCAATGGCGTGAAAGATAATGAAATACTTTGTATAAGTTAATGAATAATTTCTTCAGACTTGTAAATGCATCATAAATCAGTAGTGACTGGCATGAATAATGCAAAACCCCCATCCTCCATTTATATAAATATTGTGTGAAAGCAAGTCTGACTTCTATTCTTGTATATAGATAATAATTGCATTTGAAGCAAACAAATTTGTAGATATTAAACATATTACATAAATTTAACAATTGGCTAATAAAGATGATGAGTTTGCTGCTATATGACAAATCATTATCATAAATTATATCAACATATTGTGAAATGTTTTACCAAGACATGACATTGATTTAACTGTTCCTTTTGTCTTGTCATGCTTGTTTTTGTTGTAATTTTCACTTTGAAATATAGTGTTAACATGATTTATTTGAGATTGTAAGATAATTTTTGAAATTCAGACACTTTTACTTTATCAGTTGGCAGGCGAATGCATGCAATGTTGTTGATTCTGCGGGGCCCCAATGCCAGACCATTTATCATAGATATTTCAGTATTTAAATCCCTTGCCATCACCTAATACAGTCTGTGATATTTGTTATACGTCACCTCATGCACCTTGTATAATCATTTATCTAGCTTAATCTGCAGAAGTGGCGTTAAGAGCCCTGCAAGAGCCGCTGCTAAAATCTCCGCAAATTCCTCAATAGCTATCTCCAGTAAGCCAGCCGTATTGATTTTGCATGAAAAAGTCTAGTGACATTGATTACGCTGACAAAATGATTGTGTAAATGGCGTGTTCACACCTTGAAAAATAGTCCTGTTGTTTACTTTGGTTTTCTTGTCAAACTTGTTGAAGATAACGCTTAATCTAGGACATTTGGTGAAATAGTCATATTTTGAATTGATATTTATCATTTATTTGTTTTTAATTTAATCAATGATTGAGTATGGTTTTATTTAAATCATGACTTGATACAAAAAAAGTATAAAAAGGTATAAAAAATAAAAAGGCAGCATTTTTTCTTTTAATTTAAATGTTTAAAGTGGAAGTGAAAATGCACGCTAGGAAATCCTATCTGACAGCTATATTGTAAGTAATAAGAATATTAGAGAAAATAATTTTTAAAATTATTCAAAATAATTTACAGAATTTAATGTTTTTCTGAAGCAGCCTTTGATATTTTGTCTAACTTTCATCCTGCAATAAAAAAAACAAGCTCATGTTATGATTTTTTTTCTGTCTGTCTGCAAGTTACCAGACAATGAAAGAGCACTGATTTTAATCTGTAATCTGTTGTCAAAATAGAACAAAAATGAATGAAAGATAAAAAAGAATAACAGGAAACAACATCATATGCTGGCTTTCTCATTATTGTAAGATATTTATGGAAATTATTAAATTGGGCACAAATTGTATAATGATTAAAAAAGTAGGGAAATTAATTTTGTATTTGTTGATACATTAGTATGACATCAAATGTTAAGATGAATTGTAAAATTAAGTACAGAGTCCTTAGTCATATTTAATGCAAATTTTCTTTTGACCAATTTAAGTAAAATATCATAAACCAATCAAATGCTAATATTTGAGGATTGTATGACCATAAAAGAATTTGTATTATTCATGTAGAAGGGTAGATAATTTTGAGCATAGTTTGGTAATGGTGTTGGGTATGGAGAGAGAGAAAGGTGGTGGGTTATGGAGGTACATCCGATCATACCAAAGATAGTTATTTTGACTTTCCAAATATGGCCATATAGGTATAAAAATTATATTATTGAAAGCAATAGTAGTCTATGAAAGGTAGAAATACTTTGTTATTTTTTGTATTGTGGATTTTTGTGATGGCCAATTTAATATTGAAACAATTCAGATAAAAAGTTCAAGGTCATTTCGAAGTAGACAACAATTACTTAGTGATAGAAGGAAACGTTTTATAAGTGAGAGTGTTTTTTTTTTTAGTCTACAATAATTCAGTAAGCAACGTCATATCTTTGAGACTATGCACAGCAACAGGGCGTAAACATATGATATTTACATAACATTTAAGCAAATGGACCATCTTTCTCTTAATGAATGTTAAATAAATAGTGTTTTAACAAATTAGATTGCTTTCGTGATGGATTTTGATAAAAGTCCTTTAATTTGATTGAGGAAATAAATTACATAGAATAGATTTTCAAGCATCCCGTAGGCTTCCAAACATTTGCCAAATGTTGTTATTATGCACTGATTAAAATCAGATTAGAACAGTCTCAGAAATGGAATGATAAAAAAACGTTTCAAAAATTGAATGAAGTTGATCTTTGTAAAAGTAGATAATAACAATTTTCTGATATAAGTGTCTATTTATAATTGGTTTAATTTACTGGCATGCTGGAAGGTTTTCCTGTTTTTACTTATGCAAGAA